CCCCCCCCCAAAAAACCCCCCAAAACAAACAAAACCCCTCACAGTGGGGAGCCATGGCAGATTTCTGAGTTAGGGGGAGCCAGTAATCAGACCTGAGCTGTAGGAAAGTTACCAGCCCCATGTGTAGGGAGGGTAGAGTGAGCCTGGCTGGAGCATAGTAAAGTTGGTGAGCAGGCACTGTAATTGTTCAGTAACTGTCCAGGCTGATAGGACTGAGGCCTGTGCCTGGATGGGGACTTTGTGGCTTTAGAAACAGCAATCCTGGGTTGTTGTTTTTTTTCTGTGATGATTATTTTGGGATGTCCTTTTACCTCTTTTGTTCCCCGAATGTCCTTCCCCTCCACCTTCTTGTCCTTTTAATAGATGGAGAGCCTTTCTGAGGTCACAATTCAATGCAGGACCAGATAAGAACCCCATATCTGCCTTCCGGTCCCAGTGTTGGCCCCAGTTGGGTTCCCCTTTTGGACAGAGACAGATAAGAAACCTGGCCTTGTCCCTCCTCTACCAGGTCTCATTGTTGCAAACAAAAGGCTGTTTCTCTGCAGGCCGGACCCTGTTTCTCCGTTGGCTGTGGACTGGGTTGGGAGAAAAACTGCACCTTCCCTCCCTCCCCCTTCTGCCTGAAATTCTTCCTCTTTCTGCCCTGCTCCTCCTCCCCCCCAGGATTTTTCTGAAAATCTTGCCGTGGCCAGGATGTCCTTGGCATATTTATGCCAACCTGTCTCCTTTCAGATGCTCAATTCCTTGGGGAAGTCAGAGCCTGGGAGTCTCTTGATTGCGTGACAGATATCATTCATCTCCTGGTGGTATAACAGGAATTAGTACCTCCCAGTGGCAAACCTATCTTTGGTCTCCTGGTGGCCGTGATAACTATTTGTATGATGGGTATCTCTGATACCCATCATAGAGCACACAGCTGGTGGGAGCCTTGGTGGTGGGGGCCTGAGTGAGAATCTTTTCTGCTGAACCACCGGCAAATGGTTAGCCGACCCCGGCTTGAAGATCTCTATTGAGGGAGAACTCATGTCCCGTTGAGATATCCCATTCCACTCTGGGATAGCCTTAGGAAGTTTTCCCTGACCATTAAGCCTAAATCTGCTTCTCCACAGCTTTCAGCTGTTTCTCCTAGGCCTGTCTTCTGGGACCAAGCAGAACATGGCAAGTCTTCTTTCTTTCCTAAAAATAATTAAATATTTTGTTAAAAACTTCTTATTGAATGTCAAAATAACCAACTAAACTTATTTAGTAACTGTTTACATTTAAATAAACTAATTTCTATGTAGAAAGTATCATGTAACAACTTGTTTGTCCTTAATTAGTTAGTGTTCATTCATCTTTCCTTGGGTATTGAAAGACCTCATATGTCCTCTCTTCTCCAGTTTCTTCTTTCTTTATTTTCTTTCAGAAAGATCTCTCCAGACTTTGTATTTCTCATACTTGTTAGCCTTCATGACGTTATAGCATTCCTCTACATTAATGTTCCATAATTTGATTATTCCCCTATTGTTGGACGTTTAGGTTGTTTCCAGCCTCTCCCTCCCTCTCTCTCTCTCTCTCTCTCTGAAATCTTTGTATTATTTTTGTTTTTTATTAAAATTTTTCAGTGTGTTTTTCTAACAGTGGAGTTATTGGGTCAAAGGATGTACAGTTGTGGTCCCTTTTTTTAGAGTACTGCTAGAGTGCCCTGCAAAAGGACGACTTTGGTTAGAAATTCCACCAGCAAAGACAGTGTGTGTCTATTTCTCCACAACCTTGCCAGCATTGAGTTTCATTGCTTTTAATTATTTTTGTGGAGTTGATGGATGTCAGGTGGGACCTTAAAGTTGTTTTAATTTTCATCTCTTTGATTGATTACCTATGAAGTTGAGCATTTTTCAAGTGACCAGAAATAATTTGTGTTTACTCTTTTGAAAGTTGCTCATGTCCTTTGAGTATTTATCAATCATTCAGGCAGTCAATAAATATTTATTAAGCACCTAAATAGTAGTGAGCATAAAATTAGGTAAAATATGTAAAGTACTTTACATACCTTAAAACATTGTATAAATGCTAAATTAATAATAATAATCCCTTTTTCATCAAAGGGAATGCCCAACAATTTTTTTCAGGTATGCCTAATCCTTTTTCTTCATCATAACCCTTCAGATACTTGAAAAAAACTATCATATCCCCCTTCAGTCTTTCCCTCTCCAAGCTGAACATTCTCATTTTATTCAACCAGCCCTTTTAAGGAGGCATAAACTTGAGATTCTTCATTGCTAATTACTGTCTTCTGGACATTCTCTAGCTTATTAAATTTCAGTTTCTTAGATTCTGCCCAATGTTCCTACCTCTAATTGTCCGGCATTAACTAATTTCAAAATGGAGAGCGACAAGAGCTATAACTAAGGTAAGGGCACCCAGGACTTTTTGAATCCTGACTCTCTTGCCCAACATGTTAGCTATCTCTCCCAGCTCTGAGTCATCTCTGCATTCGATGAATATGCCATCAGTGCTTTCATCATAGTCATTGATAGAAATGTGAAACTGCCCAGGGCCAGCACAGATTCCTGAGGCACTCCACTAGAGACCTTCCAACCAGACTGTTTTCCTGATGTCTGCTCTTTGGGTTCAACAATTTAACTATTCAGCTGGTTCCTGAATCCACCAAGCTGTGCTCTTGACTAGCATCAGATATCTCCTGACAGCCTCATGGGAGTCAGTAGTAGTCGTCTCTTGGTAGCCTGCTGGGTATCTGTGGTTTTCTAGGTGGTATAATAGATATCAGTAATCTCAGCATGGGATGTTCCTCCATATCTGAAGTCCTGGGATTATAGCATGTAATAATGTGTCTGAATCCATGAGATAATGCGTATGAGCCTGAGATGTATCCCAGTCCATGTTTCCTCTGTCTCGGGTATGTCTTGAGCTTGACTTATCAGTCATGGTAGACCCGAGTCTGGGTGGTGATGACATATTTGTAGCAGCTTCTCCGTCTGAGCCCTGTTGTATCCTTTTATTCCTCTTCTATTTGCACTGCCATCATCTTTCTTACAGGTCTTCTCACCTTTACTTTCTCTCCCCTCCTCCACCTCCTCCCTGATTCATCCTTCATATTAATCTTCCTTAGTTATAAACCTGTCCAGTGTCACCCCTCTACTTAATAACAGATTCCTATCAATGACCAACCTACTAAAGTTTAAATTTCTTACCTGGCGTTCAATGTCCTCCACAACCTGAGACAGCCTTGCTTTTTGGTAGCATGCATGCCATCCTGCCTTCTCTCTGAGATTACTTTCCACTTAGACTGTATAGATCTTGTATGTACCTTTATTTATTTATTGTTTTGCATATTGTCTCTCCTATTAGAATGTGAGTTCGTTAAGGGCAAGGACCATGTTTTTGCCTCTCTTTGTATATCCAGGGCTTAACACAATACCTGGCATACAGTAAGTGCTTAATAAATGCTTATGACTTAAAGGATCCCAGTCTGCCTGCCTTGAAGTCTGGGGCTTTTTTTTCATTACCACAATTGTGTCATGACTTGGGAGGCAAAAATCTCCCATGTGTGAGTGGAGACAAATCTCTGAGTATTATGTGTATGTGAGAGAGAGACAGAAATCTCAGGGTTATGTGATGGAGGTAGACAGAAATCTTCAGGTAATGTGACCAAGAAGAAGGGGAAGGCAGAAATCTCCAGATGATGTGGCAAGCTGGAGGAGACAAATTTCTGGGTAATGTGATGGACAGGAAGGAAAAGGCAGAGATCTCTGGATGATATGATGGCGGTGGACAGAAATCTCCAGGCGATGTGACAAAGAGGAGGGGACAGTTAGATATTTCAGGGTGAAGCGATGGGAGAGTATTTGGAAGTTCAGCAGAATGACCAGAGACTAGCGTGTGTCTGAACTTCAAGGCTGTTTCCCCAGTGACACTGGCAGGGGGAAGCAGGGCCTGAGGGAGCTGCTGAAGGGTGGGGGAAGGCTTTCTGGGCTGGGCTGAATGAGCCTTTCGCTTCCTCCTTCCCTCCCTCCCCCAAAAACTGGTTCCTCATCTGGGGCTGGAGCAGGTGGAGAGGACTGAGCTGGGGCTGTGCCCCACTCCCTACAGGTAGCAAGGGGGGACAAGAGACCTGGGCAGGGGATGGCCTTTAGGGCTCAGAGGAAGACTTGGAGAGGTAGAAGAGGGGCTGGAGGGGCATTGTGTGGAGTTCTGGGGGGGGGGACAGGGAAGTCTTGTGACAATTTGTGTTGTGGTTGTATGATCTCTATGTATGTTATAGTTGGTGTGGCCTGGGTGTTTGTTAGGGGGTGGGATGTGACCATTTGTGCTTAGACCCTCAATGTGATAGGTGGATTAGTGATGTAGTTGTGGAGTGAATGGGATGTTGTGTGACTGTGGGCATTGTGAGAATTCATGGTTGTGTGGGAGTATGTGGGGGGGAGTTGGAAAGGGGGCATTTATGGTATAGTTGTATGTTTATGTGCATTAATGTGCTAATCTGGAATATGTTTGGTGCTGTGTTGTGTGTTGTGGTTATACTAGACTTTGCGGGGAGTCTGTAGTGTTTGTTATTTTTCTGTGTACCGTTGTCTAGGAGCATGTGCGATGTTGGAGTGAGATATGTGTGTGTGCGATATACAACCAGGGTGTATGTAGGCACTTGTGGGGCAGGTCTGGGGTTTGGGTTTGTGGCTGGTTGTATGTGGTGGAGTATTTGTGTGGTATGAGGGATATGTGTATTGTGGGGGTGTCAGCTATGAGCTGCTCATGTTGTGGGTCTGTGGGGTGTGTGTGTGTGCGTGTGCGTGCGTGCGTGTGTGTGTGTGTGTGTGTGTGTTATGTGAGGATGACCATTGGAGGGCCCTGGAGTGTGTATTTGTGGTATCATACATGGTAAGGGAAGGGCCTTGGTTGTGTGAATTCTGTTGTGCAGACACACAATTCTTGTTGTATTCTTATCTTGGTTCTTACTAAATCCTGAGCTCAGGGAAACCTGGCTCCCAAGCCCTGGACCCATGGCTTGGGATTTGGCTGTGGGTTGGTGCCCATGGGGTCAGGGCCTGGGAGACGCTCAGCCTCTGAGGCGTCTGAGGTCAGAGGCAGCATGGTGCAGTAGAATGGGAAAACTTGGGTTCAAATCTTACCTCTGCTACTTTGTAACTGTGGACCCTTGATCTTAGCTTTCCAGGGTCCTCAAGTTTTAAATGAAGGGGTTGGACAAGATGACTTCTGCCGTTCCTTTCTTGTCTGAGTCTCTATCCTGGGAGCTCCATTTCCCTTCCTTGCTCCTTTTCTCCAATGAGCCTTCACACGTTCTCACCTACCTTTCCAGCTCTTGGCCCCTGTTGGCCTGGTTCCTTCCTGTAGGGCCTGGGTGGGGCGGGGACACCCTGGACTGGAGGATCAGCTGGGGAGGCTGCTTGGGATTTGAAGAAGTTCGAGGCACTTGGAGGTTGTGACAGATGTGAGTCACACATGCAAAGCTCTATGCAAATATGTTTCCTCAACATTTCCTGGGCTTGAAAGGAGGGGGAAGGGGAAGATGTCAGGTGAGACTCTCTCAGGGAGGGTTTCTGGTGCTGTCTGTCACAGGCAGAGGGGGATAGTACCTATGTGTGATTGGGTGTCTGCACAGACATGCAGCTAGGTGGAATAGTGGATGGAGTGCAGGGCCTGGAGTCAGGAAGACCTGAATTCAAATTCAGCTTCAGACGCTTACTAGCCGTGTGATGCTAGGCAAGTGACTTAACCCTGTTTTGCCTTAGTGTCCTCACCTGTCAGATGAGCTGGAGAAGTAAGGAAATGGCAACTCACTCCAGTATCTTTGTCAAGAAAATTCCAAATGGGCTCACAAAGAGTCAAACATGACTCAACAACAACAATGGACATTGGAGGCCTTTGGTGTATAGGCCAAGGAGGACCTCTTCTCAGTGTCTGGTAGAGGAGGGTAGTGTGCTTAGGGAGTGGAATAATGCCTCAACAAGTGAACAGGGCTTGCTGAAGGGAATGGAGCTCAGTGTTAACTAACACTAATTAAGCACTGGGTTTATTTGCTAAATGCTGAGGATAAATGGAAAGGCAGAGATATAGTCAGTCCCTGCCCTCAAGGAGCTTGCAATCTAATGGGGGAGACAGTGTGTAAACAACTATATACCTAAAAGATACATCAATCAACCAGCAAACATTTATGAAGTGCATATGTATCAGGCATTACGTGCTAAATGCTGATGATACAAAAAGAGCAAAAGAAAATTCCTGCCTTCAAGGAGCTTACAATCAAATGGAGGAGATACTGTGTAAATAACTATACACCTAAAAGATGTATCAATCAGTCAATCAATAAGCATTAATTAGGCACCTCCTGTGTTCCAGGCACTGTGCTAAGTGCTAATGATACAAGAAAAGGCAAAAATGCAATCCCTGCCTTTGAGGACTTCATCTTCTAATGGGGGAGGCAGCACATACCCATGGACTTAAAAGATAGATCAATCAACCAATCAATAAGCACTTAATAAGAGCCCATGTGCCAGGCACTGTTGATACATCAGTCAATCAGTCAAACATTTATTAATCGCCTATGTGCCAGCTGCTGTGCTAAGTGCTAGGGATACAAAAAGAGGCAAAGACAGTCCCCTGCCCTCTAGGAGCTTACAATCTAATGGGGGAGACATTATGTAAATAACTCTACACTTAGAAGATAATTCTGTGAAAATAGAAGGCAATCTTGGATGGAAGGGACCAGCATCAGGGGAAATGGATAAGGCATCCTGCCAAGGTAAGAGTTGAGTCTTAGAGGAAGCCAGAGGAGCTAGGGGCTAGGAGTCAGAGGCAAGGAAGGGGAGCCTTAAGGCCAGGCATGGTACATCATCAGTGCAAATGTGTGGAGGTAGGAGATGGTCTTGGTGTCTCCTTCCAGGGCTCTTTTCCGTAGAGACAATGGCAGAATGGACTCAGAAAAAACTGGGTTTGAATGTTGGCAAGCCCCTTCCTGCCCTCGCCAGTAAGATGGTGATGGCTACAGCACCTGCCTTATCCAATGGAACACTTCTAAAGTGCTCTGGAATATTCCATTTTGATGTCAATGTCGGCTCTTCTAATATTAATGATGATTCCCCTCCATGCCCTCTTTTGGTTATCTGCCGTTTATCTTGTCTCTCTCTTGTTTGTATGTAGCTGTTGGCCCGTTTTCTCCCCCACTGGAGCAAGGACAGTCTTTTACCTTATTTGTATCCCTTTCACTTAGCACAGTGCCTGGCACACAGCAGGTGTTTAATAAATGCTTGTTGACCTGCCTTGCCTTGCCTTTGGGATGATGAGGATAGCAGGATGACTTAACATGCTTGAGCTGATAGAGCACTTAAAGATTTGTAAAATGCCTTACATATGTTTTTTCTTATTTTGTCCTCTCAGCAACCCATTGAGGCAGATAGGTTAAGTGACTTGCCCAGGGTTACACAGCTAGTAAGTATCTGAGGCAGGATTTGAACTTGGGTCTAATACTCTAGCCACTGCACCACCTAGATACCTCTATAACATAGTATTATTATTAATAATAAAATGAAGAACACTTTTCTTGCTACACTTTAAGGCTTATAAAGAGGTTTGGTTTTTTTTTTTTTTGGTCACAGCAATAGTGGAGGTACTATTGTACCCATTTTACTGATGGGGAAAACTGAAAAGGAGAGACTTGGCAAAGCTCGTACAGCCAGTAAGAGACAGTGCCAGACTTGAACCCTTGTTTCCTAACTCTAAATTCACTGCTCTTACCGCTGCCTTACTCAGTGCATCTCTAATATAGTTGATGACCGAGCAGTAATTAGGAATTCTTTTTCCTGGGGCAAAAAAGCAAGTTGTGGGGCAGGCAGGGCAGAGCACAGCACAGTTCAACCTGTGATGCAGTTGGGCCTGAAAAGCCTGCCTGGTAAGTTGTATCCCAGAGAGAATAGCCCCATACCCTTGTTATGATTGGGGGCAGACATTCTGGGAGAAAGAGGACCTGTTGATGGGACCTCAAGAATGGCGGCCCAGGGGCTGGACAGGAGGGCAATTTGTACGTTCGTCACGGACCCAAGGAAGACCAGCAGTCTTGGAGAGACCATGGAAGGGAAGAAAGGGCATTTCCTGGATGTTGGCTTCCTGGGCAAAGCCCCAGGTGTCTCACCCTATTTGTGACTCTGGTTGATGTCCATTTTTATATTGTTTTGCACGTGCTGTGTTTAATGCTGAACCCCTGCCATTCCCCAACACCCCAGGCCCTTAGCCCAGGCTGAGCTCTTACTCCATTCCTGCTGTCCTTGGCCCCTCTTGCTGTAAGGTGGCATCAAGCTATCTCTGACTGACCTTCCTCAAGTGTGAGGCCTCAGGTAGAGGGCAGGGTGGGCCCAGGGCTGACACTGCCTCTATTGCTCAGTCTGCAGCCAGAGAAGCTGATGGGATCTTGAGCCCAGATGGTGATGGGCTCACATCTGGAAGCCGATGCTCAGTTTGGGGCATCACTGTTTAATCCAGAGGCCATCCAAGAGGGGACAAGGTCTCAAGTTCATGCCATATGAAAGGAGAAGATTTAATGTGGGGGATGATCTTGCTCTTCCAGTATTTAGAGGGCTGCCAGATGGGAAGGGGGTGCTACTTGCCCTCCTTGGCCCCAGAGAGAAGAGTTTAGGGACAGTGAGAAGTGGCAAAAAAGGGAAATAGAGCCTTGAGGTAATGACAGACTTCCCAGCAGTGAGAGCCACTCTCAAGTAGAGTGGGCAGCCTTGGGAGATGTAGACTTTCCTTATGTTGAAAGTCTGTGACCATGGGTTTGACAGGTTGTAGATGGGACTCCTAGTCAGGTCTGGGCTGCTCAGAGATTGTAATTATTTTCTGGGTCTCTGGGTTTCTTGATCCCTCGGTGTCTCTGTCTCTCAGGGTCTCTGATGAAGCTTCTTCTCCTGTCTCTACCCACCTCTTTTTGTGCGAGTTCAGTCCCTGGTCTGACCTACCTTCTTGACCTTCTAATTTCCCTCCATTCCTTTTCCAGCTCCAGTACCAGACCAGGACCCTTCACCCACCCTCTTCCAGGGCTGCCCCACTTCCCTACTAACTTTGGACTCAAAAGCCTTTCTCCCTGGGCCTGTGTCCCTGCAGTTCCCACGTCTGAGGCCATGGGGAGCCCCCTGGTGTAGTCTCCAGCCATCCTTAGCGGCCAGGTAAGTGGTGGGAGGAATGATCTTTGGGAATGACCTTTTGGGTGCTGTGGGAGGTAGAAGGGAGACATCACCTTCTGCACGGGTGTGGGGGGGAAAGGGATTGGCAGAGGGGGGATGGGAACTCCTGAGAGGAGGCCTTCCAGAAAGGGGCATTTGATCTTTCTGTCGCTTGATTGTCTGATCCTGCCTAAACCCTCCCTCTTTTACTCTTGACATCCCTCCCTTCATACTTATTTTTCTCTCCTTGAGTCTTGCCTCTTCCTCTGTGTAGCACTGTCTCTGTCTCTGCCTGCCTTTCTTTTAAAAAATAAATTTTATTTTATCTTTTGTTTTCATGTATCTATTTTATTTTACTTTATTTTATTTTTTTAGGCAGTTGGGGTTAAGTGACTTGCCCAGGGTCACACAGCTAGTAAATGTCTAGTGTTTGGTCTGAGGCTGGATTTGAACTCTGGTCCTCCTGACTTCAGGGTTGGTGCTGTATCCACTGCGCCATTTAGCTGCCCCAAGAATTCAGCCCAAGCCTTCTTTCAGCCAAAGACAAGGTTTTTTTGTTTGTATGTTTGTTTGTTTGTTTTAGGCAATTGGGGTTAAGTGACTTGCCCAGAGTCACACAGTTAGTAAGTGTCAAGTGTTTGGTCTGAGGCCGGATTTGAACTCAGGTCCTCCTGACTTCAGGGCCAGTGCTCTATCCCTATCTAGCTGCCCCTGTTTTCATGTATCTGCATTTCCCACTGTATCCTTCTTTCCCCTTCTCAGAGTGCTATCCCTTATAATAAAGAATTTTTTAAAGAAGGAAAAATTTTTAAAAAAGATCAGCAAACCTAACATACATACATATATATATATGTGTGTGTGTGTGTATATATATATATATATATATATATGTATGTATGTATGTATGTACACACATAAAAAGTCCCATGGTCCTCAACTTCTGCAGAGAAACAAAGAGGAGTCATTGTAATTTCTTCCTTTTTGGTGTCTTTGTCTCTCCTTTCACGTTCATGGTCTCTGCCTTATCATTTGGTGCCATTCCCCCTACCCCTTAGCAGGTTTGAGGCTCCTCCTACCGTGAAGTAGGAGATGTGAGGCATTGGTTCTGGCTCTGCCCCTCACCCCCATTTCTGAGGTCCCTTCTGGCCTCTGACCTGATTCTTTCTTTGTATGTGTGTGTCTGGTTCTAGGTGTAGGTGGGGATGAGCTGAGGTTCCGGTTCATCTGCCAGTGCCCCTGCTGCCCTCCAGGCCATGGCGGAGGAGGTAGGGGCTTTGCTGCCTGTAGCTGAGTGGCTGCGGGCATTGCATCTGGAGCAGTATGCTGGACACTTTGAGCAGTACGGGCTAGTGTGGGCAGCTGACTGCCGGGGCCTGAACGATGGACAACTCCTCCACATGGGCGTCACAATGCCTGGGCATCGCCGACGAATCCTATCTGGCCTCCAACGGGCCTATGCCACTGCCTCTGAGGAGCCCCGTGGGCCTGCCCCTGCCCCTGCCCCTCGGGGACCTCCTCGGCCTGTGCCTGCCAAGCGCCATGTCTTTCGTTCAGCCCCAGCCCCAGATCTATCCCTAGCGCCAGCCCCAGCCCCTTCCCTATCCCTAGCCACAGCCATGGTCCCAACCCTGGCCCCAGGACCGGCGCTAGCCTCAGCACCAGTCTCAGTCTCAGCCTCAGTCTCAGTCCCAGCCCCAGTGCAGACCCCCACCTTAGTTCCTTCAGCTTTTGCCCCACCTATCCCTCCCCGAAGGAGTTGCCGACCTCCTGCCCCCTTTGCTTCTCTGGAACTTGGCCCATCCAGGGACCCCGTGCTGCCTCCACTGCCTGCCAAACGACACCAGGTGGAGGCCAGAGCACCTTGCATTCCACCTCGGAGTGGCCCACCCAAGCCTCTGATGAGGTAAGGAGAGCTGGGGTTGGGGAAGGAATGTTGGACATAGCTCTGGCCTCAGGGCTACTGACAAGGGAGACTGGCCTTCACCCTTGGTAAGCTTTTGGACTGAGAGGAGGACAGGGCTTGAGACTTTGGGGACCCAGATCAGTTCTAGGGAGAGTTTTCTGAAGGAGACAATATTTGAATATAGACAATGAAATTTGGACTATAGGAAATTTCAGTAGGCAAAAATGGGGGTGAGAGAATATTCCTGGCAGAGAGGAAATGGGGAGCAAAAACTCAAGATGGGGAAATTCTGGGCAGGCCAAGAGCCTGTCCAACTGGAGAGGAGGATCCAGTGTGGCTGGAGAGAAAAGGCGGGGCAGCCTTCACTCTCATAATCTGATTTTTCTTAAAAACAGGTCACTTTAGATAAGTCTTATTACCATTTTGGATAGGGTCATGAATTCACAGGTCAGGGTGGTGGTGCCATTGATGTAATTTACCTAGATTTTAACAAACTTTTGACAAACCCTCCTGTTCTCCTTGTGGGAACAGAGAGAGAGATGGAGGCTAGAAACGCCAGTGGATTCCTTATTGGCTGAATGGCTGGATCTCAAACTAGCTTGGCAAGAGGTCTCCAGTGGAGTGCCTCAGAAATCTATGCTTGACTCTGGAGAGTTGAACATTTTTATTATTGACTTGGAGAAGGCATAGATGACAGGCTTAAACAGATTTGCAGGTGACCCAAAAGTGCTAAGGGTCAGTTAATACTTTGGATGAAAGAGTCAAGATTCTCCCCAAATCTTGCCTGGCTAGAATGTCTGGATGACCCTAATAAGAGGAAATTGAAGAGTAATAATGTAAAGTCTTATATTTGGCTTAAAAAAAAAGAACCGTGGGCAGCTAGGTGGCACAATGGATAGAGCACTGGCCCTGAAGTCAGGAGGACCTGAGTTCAAATCCGGTCTCAGACCCAAACACTTGACACTTACTAGCTGTGTGACCCTGGGCAAGTCACTTAACCCCAATTGCCTAAAACAAACAAACAAACAAACAAACAAACAAACAAACAAACAAGAAAATGAACCTCACCGACATAGGTGGGGAAGGCATGACTAGGCAGCCTGACGACAATCTGGGGTTTTAAGTCAACAATATAATATGGCAGCCAAGAAAGTCCAAATGATGCCAGGTTTTATCGAGAGGAGCAGCTGGTCCAGCATTAGGGAGGGGCTGGTCCTGCTGTCCTCTGCCCTGGCATGACCACCTCTGCACTATTGTTGTCAGCTCTGGAAGGATGGTGGGAAGCTGGAAAACATTCAAAGGAGTGCAGCCAGGATGGTGAAGGGTCTGGAGACCCTTTCTCATGTGAATTTATTGAAAAAACTGGGGAGGTGTAAGCCATTGAAGAGAAGATTGGGGGAGATGTCATGTCTGTCCTTAACTATTTGAGGTGTCTTGTGGAAGAGGGATTAGGACTGGTCTGCCTGGTCTCAAAGGTGGGAGGGAGAGCTAGGAACAGTGGATGCAGAGAAATGCAGAGAGGCAGAGGTTTGGTGTAACAACAGACTTCCTAAGAGAGCTCCAAAGAGGAATGGGCTTCCTTGGGAGGAAAAGCCGGCATGGCCACTTGCTGGGAGGAGGTGGAGGGGCTTTTTATGCAGATAGAGTAGAGGACCCTTCTTCTGACTCACAGATCATATGCTGATGTCTAAAGTACCCATTGGCATTGGGAAAGTGAGCCCAATGGCAGTATCACTGATTTTTAAAAATGTCAGGCTTGCATGACTGGTGGAAACCTGATGGAACTGCTCCCTTGGGCAGATGGGACAGGCTCAGTATTTCCCTTTTGTAGTCTCTGTGGGTAGTGGTGAGCCAAAACAGGTTCCAAGCAGGGGATGGATGTGGTCAGAAGAGGGCTGTGGAAGGTGCTCATGGCCTCTTTGTACAGGAGTCTGGAGGAAGGGAGGGTGCTGTGAATCTTTCAGGGGTGGAGATGGTAGGATTGGCAGGGGCCATGGGATCAGTCCACTGGGGATGGAGAAAAGGGAACAAATGTTTGCCTAAATCTTTTTCTTTTTCTGTCTGTCTTAATGGCGTTCTCTGTTTTTCTTTCTTTGTGTCTTTCTGTGTTTCTAGTTTTGTATTGAAATGAGTTTAACTGAAAATGGTTGCTAAATAAGTTTAGGTAGTCAAATTGATTTTCAGTATCATGTTTTTTCAGAAAACATTTAATTTTGACAAAAGAAAACAAAGATCAGTCAGATGAGAAAAGCAAAGTAAATGGCATAGAGAAATCCAATTATTCCTCTGCAGACTTACTAAGTTCTTTTTCAGAAGGCTGTGTTTACGGTTAAAGTGTTTCCACATACACCAGTTACTTTTAGCCTCATAAAAATCTTCCCATTTTACAGATGAGGAAACTGACTCAGGTTAAATCATTAGCCCAATGTCATATAGCTAATAAGTGGTAGAGCCAGGTCTCCTGTGTTTTCTCATCTTTTTCTCTCTGTCTCATAATCTCATTCTCCCTTTTGTGTCTGTCTCTATTTCCCCCTTTCTCTTCATTCTTCTGTCTCTCTTCTTCCCTGTTTTTGTATGTTTGTTCCTCTCTACATTCCTCCCTGGGTCTCTTCATTTTTCTCTGCCTGTCAGTCCTTCTCTCCATTCTTCTCTGTACCTCTCTCTCCATTCTTTTCCCCATTTCTTTCCTTCTCTCTCTATTCTTCTCTATATCTGTCTGTCTCTCTCTTTTTCTCTCTGACTTTGCCTTTCTCTGTGTCTGGGGGACAGGGACTGGAAGTGGAGAGGACAGTGAGGAGGGTTCTGCCTTGGGGGATGAGGCCCATGAGGACACAGAGGAGGGGAAACTACAGAGACACTGGGCAGGGAGAAGGGACCAGGCTCACCTGAGGGCTACTCAACTTTGTTGGGAGTGGGTGTTGTTGGTGCCTGGGCCGAGATCACAGCTAAGGCCAGGCAGAGGGAATGGTGGGAGCACAGGCCTGGAGTCCTTGTGGGGCATTAGGTTCCCCTGTCCCTGGCTTTCTCCAAGACTCAGTTCGAATCCCACCTTCTTCCTAAGGTTATCTCCAGTTATATGTCTTCTCTGTGTGTACATATTTATTTTTGTGCCGGCCCTCTCCTCGTGATGTCAGCTCTTTGAGGACAGAGACAGTGTTTTTGTCTTTCTTTGTACTCCCAGCGCTTCGTGAATTGCCTGGCACACAGTCAGTGCTTAATAAACTCTTGTTGACTGACTGACTTCCAGGGCTGGGAGAGCAGGGACCCAGGCTTTTGGAGGAAGGATCCAGTGCTGTCTTTGGTTCTGTGCCTCCCTCTAGTGGCAAATCTCTGGCCTAACATTTGCCTACCCAACTGCAAGATTCTATTCATCCTCCCCTCCTAAATTCCCCATCCTAGGGGCCACCATAGGCAGGGGACGAGATCTAGCCCCGCTTTTGGAGTACCTTCCAACCTGGCTGAAGAGACAGGGCTCACACCCAGGGAACAGACAAACAGGAAGGACCAGGGAAAATCAAAAGCCAGACCATATGGGAGCCCTATGAAAGGGGTGATCTCTGGTTTGGTTCTGGGAGGACTGCCTGCAGGAGGCAGGGCGTGAGCTGACCTCTGAGGACTTAGGAATGTGTGGAGAGCAGGGAGGAGGGACAATACTTTCTGACTGAGAGATGGTCTCCAGGTGTTTGAAATTTCTCTGATTTGGGTCAGAGGGAAGGTTGAAGCAGGGGAGACAGGGTCTCTCCAGGGCTACTTCATTGCCCCCTAAGCCTTCCTATCCAGAATCTACATGGGGAGTGAGGTAGATGGGTAGGAATGACAGACGGCATGAGGGATGGAGGCTGGATCCAAGGCTGGCCTCCTGATTGAGGGTGAGCGATGCCAGGTTGGACAATGGGGTAGGGATGTAGCTGCCTGCATAGAATACGGAGCTAGTCCCTCAGAGACAGGGGCAAGGACAAGATGGACAAGATGACCCCCCCCCTCCTTTCCCCTCTCCCTTTCTCTCCTCTTTCCCCTTCTTTTCTTTCTCTTTTCTCTCTCTTTCCTCTTCCTTTCTCTCTCTTGTTCTCTCTGTCTTTCTCTTTCCCCTTCTCCTCTCTCTCTCCCCCCTCTCCATTTCTTTTTCTCTCTGTGTATCTGCATCTATCACTCGTTCTTTCTTTATCTCTTTGTCTGCCTTTCAGTTTCTTCTGTTTTCCTCTTTAGCTTTTCATCTTTCTTCATTTCTGTTTCTTTTTCTCTTCAAGTTTCTTCTGTTTTTCTGCATCTTTCTCTCTTTTTAATCCCTTTGTCTCTCTTTTCACTTCTTTATCTCCGTTTTTATCTGTCTTTTTTTGGCCTTCATTTCTTTCTGAATTTGTTCTTTTTTCTCTTTCTTTTTCTCTGTCTCTTTCACACCCATAGTTAACAAGTATTATTTTATTTAAAAAAGAATTTTTATATTCCCATTAAACATATTTTCACATTAGTCATGTCGTAAGGAAGAATTAGAACCAATAGGAGAAACCACAAGAAAGAGGAAACAAAACAAAACAGAAGAAAAAAAATAGCAAATAGTATGCTTCGATCTGCATTCAAAACTCCATAGTTCTTTCTTTGGATGTGGATACCATTTTCCGTCATGAGACTTTTGGAGATGTCTTAGAACCTTGCTTTGCTGAGAGGGGCTAATTCTATCAAAGTTAGTCATCACACAACATGGCTGTTACTATGTACAATGTTCTCCTGGTTCTGCTCACTTCACTCAGCATTAGTTCATCCAAGTCTTTCCAGGTTTTTCTGAAGTTCACCTGCTCACCATTTCTTATAGCACAATAGTATTCTGTTGTATTCATATGCCACAACTTGCTCAGCCATTCCCCAATTGATGGGCATCCTCTCAACTTCCAATTCTCTGTCACCACAAAAAGAACTACTATAAATATTTTTGTACATGTGGGTCCTTTTCCCATTTGTATGATCTCTTTGGGATACAACCCTAGAAGTGCTATTGCTGGATC